AAATATGCGAGGCCGAAAATACTCATTGCTCACGCGGTGCTCCCACCAGACACGAGCTAAGATGCGAAGGCAGCGAGGATTGAATGTGACGAGCCACTTTATGTCTGTCGATCTGATGGGCCAGGTTTCACAACCATATAGGAGAATTGAACGGACGACTGCGTTATAAACTGCCCTCCAGGGTGAGTAATGTTGCGTCTGCGCCACAGGTGGCGGAGATTGGCAAAAGCACCTCAAACTTTTGCCATACGGTTCGTGACCTCACCTTCGATCCCACGGCGCTAATATAGCTGTCCAGGTACTTGAATTCCTGAACGACTTCTAGCAGATCACCACAAAGCGTTAGCGCAGCGGTGGGTCCCTGTCAATCTTGGAGAAGTACTTTGAATTTCGATGGAGCAAAGCATAATCCAAAACGACTGACAGTCAATGCTGCTTGGCATGTTTGGGAGCTGTCACAGATTAGGGCAATATCGTCCGTGCACTCTATGTCAAGAAGTCGCTCACCAGGAAGTAGCTCCACACCTTTTATGTCGTGTCCAGCGAACGCAGTTTCCATGAATTCGTCAACTGCGGAGTTAAAGAGGACAGGTGATAGCGTGCAACCTTGTCTCACACCGCTGGTAATACTGAAGGGTGGCGACAGTTTGCCATAAACCCTCACTCTGCGCGTACAGCAGTTTGATAATGTTTACATATTTAGCATGCACACCTTTCCTCAGTAAACAGTCCCAAAGGGCACTTTGATCGACTGAGTCGAAGGCACCTTTTATGTCAAGAAACACGGTGGGTCGCCAATAAACATGGCAGTGCTCCAACAATTGACGCAAGGTGGAGATGTGGTCGATGCAGCCCTGACCTGGACGAAATCCGGCTTGCACTCCACAAATTTGGCTTTCATGAGTGCCAGTCAGTCTGTGGAGAATGACAGACGAAGGCAATTTAGTGGCAATTGAAATCAGACTGATCCCTCTATGACTGCCGCATTGCAAACGGTTCTCTTGAAAACTGGGACAATGACGGAGCGATTCCAGTTGGTTGGGATAGTCTCCTACTTCCAAAATTGCATTAGCAACTGTGTAAATCATCTATTAGAGCAGGTCCCCCGAATTTGAAGAGCTGGGGGAATTCTATCTGCCTCTGCGATCTTATATAATTTCATCAGCCTGATCTCACGTTCGACTTCTGCGCGTGAGTGCGGATCCAAGGAAACGACCCAGGGAGAAGGGCGCTCAATACCCGGAAAAAAACCAATAACTCAGGTTGGTTAAATTGCCTTGCAAAGTGTTCAGCCCAACGCTCCAAGCATTTTGACAGTCTGTGGATCGGCTACCCACTTTCGTGGCGTATGGTCTCGTTAACACTAAGTCTCCTGCTGGCTGTTTCCCGTAACAACGGAATAACTTACGATAATTGCCAACGCTAGCGTCTGTTTCCATCTCAGAGGCACGATGAGACCACCAGGCTTTGCGGTCTTCCTTCAGGCTAGCACGTAGTTTTGCCCTGAGATTTTTGCGAGTCTCACTGTATTCGCTTCCAGCCGGAATACGTCGGCGAGCATCCATAAGTTCCAGAGACTGTGTAGAGACCCAATGTCCAGCTTGGAAATTTGATTTGTCATATAAAGACATGCCTGCTGATAGTAGGGTTTGACGAATATGCGACCAGTGATCTTTGACGGTGTTCAGTGGGTGCTTACTCAGCCCGGATGTCAACGCACTTTGATGCACATTCAGAACTCCTAGCTTCGCCAGTTGCCTGGTGTCAACCCGTTCACATCGACGTTGCGAATGTCCACCGAAACGCACCCGGAGGTCTGCGCAGACAAGTGTGTGTTGTCAGAGTCCACGCTCGTGCTACAAATTGAGCAACAGTTTTGGACACAGCCTCTCCAGCGGTAACTGATCGCGATATGATCGAATTATATCCATGGCTGGCCCGAGGCTGGTAACCGTCAGGTCACGCTTCTGTGGGTGCTGTATCGAAAGTTTGTGCTCGCCAGAAAGAGACGAGCATCTTCACACAGCTGTAGCAATCGCTCACCGTTATCATTACGGGACGCTACACCATGTTGGCTGCCCAGATGAAGCTCATCAGAGGATAATTTTCCGACTTGGGCGTTTAGATCGCCAGCAAACATCAGACTATCCGTGCTTCTTCTGTTATGAAGGAGATGGTTAGGTTGCTGATTTAAATCCTCTTTCAGCGAATCAGTGCTACATTTTGTAGGGGGTTTAGACCGCAACGATAGACAGACACCGTTTGTCCCTTCACGACTTCGTAGCACGGAACGAAAAAACTAATCTAACAACGCACATCTGACTGGGCAGCTTCAGTCCAGGAACTCAAAACAATGCCGACGCCAGCTTGACCGGCATTTGAAGCTGCATCATCGTCAGACAGGCGCAATGAGAAGGTGCTGCCAGTGTCGCATGTTGGGGATCTCAGGGTAACCACGGAGTTCGAATCTTGCAGGCGGGTTTCTGATAAACAGCAAATATCGTTCAATAGGGTCTCGAATATTCGGGCAAGTGCTGCCTGATGGCCAATCTGTAGCAAAGTGCGCACGTTGAAGCATGCCAGTCATAGCGAGACGCGAGGACTCCAAAGCGAAACGGATGAACTGACGTTGTCTGCTTGGTTGAACATGGACTTGTCGACTGGATTGAAGCGACGCCCTGCGACTGTGCGGGAGTTGAAACTAGAAGACCAGCGACTATTGAAGCAAGGTGGGGGCGGGCCAATAATTAGGGAATTGGAAATGGAGGGGATAAAAGTAAAGATGGAGCGGGACGATGAGGATGAAAACGCGCAAGAAGAGAGATAAGAAGACGGGAAGGCCTGAGCAGTAGCATCCAAACCCGTATCCACCCGCTCGATGAAACAGGTAGGACGCAGTTGAGTATCCTCTGCGAGGACCAGAGCATCAAGAAATTGTTAGAGGAAAGGTTCACTGTATTGCGTTGGCGGAATACTGTCAGGTTGTCCAGGTTTAGACAGGAGAACGATTAGGGTTCTCAACCAAAGCCTTTGGTTCAAAAAACCTTACCCCAAGGCAGTGGGGTTTTGGCACTGGACTACAAAGAGCCGGCTTTATGGAGTAAAGAGCCACCCTCATTCCAACTCCCAACCTGGAGGACCAGGAGGCTGAGTTTGTCTGGCATCTAACAATTGACCATTCACAGCTCCACACCATTAAGTCGTATCCATTCACAGGACACGACTTAATGGTGTGGAGCTACTTCCAAGAGAACGACTTTTTGATTTGGAGTATGCAGACGATATTGCCCTCATCCGTAACAGCTCCCAGATGTGCCAAGTTACACCGGACAGATTAGCACTGGCTGCCAGCCGCTTCGGGCTTTGCAAATCGAAGTGCAAAGCTTTCCTTCGAGATTGGCAGGGATCACCTCCTGCGCTGACCTTTAGTTGGGAGCATCTGGAAGTCGTTCAGAAATACAAGTACCTGGAAAGTTGTATCAGCACCCTTGGGATCGAAGATGAGATCACGAACCGTATAGCTCGAAATTTGTGTCAGCGGGATTTTTTTCGGGCGTCTATCATGCGTTCGTGCCGGCAGGGTTCCAAGTTGCAAATGTTCGATCGTGCTTGTTTGGCCCTTGGGGAACCACCGAAGTGCTTGCAAACTGTCGCGCACACCAATTTATGACCGGTTTCCATACAAGTTGACCAGTATGATCAGCTATCCGATATGTATGCACGCAACCTTCGACTTATGGCTATTTGACCAATTTGCGACCAACGCTGGGTTGATGATGGAGGAGGCCAGGTGGCATAATGGCGTATGGAGTACGAAAGCTCGTACTTTTGATCGCCACATAGATTGAGTAACCTTTCTCCATTGTCAGAGCGAACATTATCATATCAATATGGTCCCCCAAGATGCGGTTCAGATAGAAGCGGCCGAAGGAAGCGTGAGTTGAAATCCCCTGCCATAATAATGTGCGTTCTAGGTGCCCTTAGGTGCATATCATGAAAACCTCGATGGAACTGGTTCTTGACTGTATCCGAGTTGCAGTCAATGGAGGCATAGGCGATCACTAAAAAAGCACGCTTACTGACTCGATGTCTGCTAACATTGCAGAAGCCAAGGAGCTTAATAGCATCGAGATGACGGAAAGATCTCGCAATGGTGTACCGGATCCTAATAAACCCAAACCACACATGTCACTATTTCGAAACTCAGCCAAAACACATCTCTCAGGGATTGGACATGCAGTACAGTACACTGAAATATCGACGAAACTTTGCTCCCTCAGAGTGCCACAGCCCTAGCACGCTCTCCCGGTGCATGTAACTAATGTCCCATATTATCCCTATTCAATAAACGCCTTGACGAGATCCTGACATATTTACACTACGTGATATAGCCCATGGTGGTATTAGTGCATTGCAAACAGTGGACGGCATCGCACATGTGCTACTCCAAACCCCTTGATGAGTTTTGTAACTTACGCGCTTTGACCGACACTTGTTATCTTGTAATTTTTCCAATAAGAGACTTATCAACCGTTCGTTTTCATACTCGTCATAAACCATCGTTCCAATTAGCGGAAGGTAACGCCTTCAATGCTTTCTGATGGAAAGTCTTACAGAGATGTCATGTCAAGCGGAGCATCATCATCAATACACGTTAGCTGAGGGTGAGAAACGCACCTCGGCTAATGTGGCTCAAATATAAATTACAAGACATTAAGCAACGTAGACTTGAAGGCCACAAAAAATTAACATTATGCTAAGCACACATTTTTGATAGTTGGACGGAAGTTAAAGGGAAGGGACAGAGACTCACAACACAACCGGAGCATCGGTGAGAATAAATGAGCATCAATGCAAAGTAAACTCTGAAGGATGAAGCGATTTCAATCGTCCAAATAAGGGGAATTGAAAGTACACAGAAGTGGAGAGAGCATGTATTCGAGAAGCCCAGATGTAAAAGCGAATGTAAAAATACAGATCGGACAAAAACGGGAACGTACCATGTAGGCTGACAAAAGCGCGCCGAGTTCGGAACGCAGTTCTTCTTCGCTTAGGTCCGAATCATCCAGTATTCCAGCAATGTACTCAGATAAGACCTCGGTGTCAATCTCGCAGGATAAAGTTCGGAGGTACTCGAGCAACCATGAAACTTTATTATCGTTTTCTGACATAACGCCAGGGGCAAAATAAATGCTTGAAACAAGAATAAAGAATGGAACAGGTATGAGCTACTGGGCGACGAGGATGCAGAGAAGATAAGTAGAAAGAATGATAAGCGAAGCGTAACTCGCTGTTAACTGGAATACGTGAGGAAATTCACAATGATCAAAGATGTGAAAGGATGTTGGACTGTAAAGTGAAAAGTAATCGGTGGAAACGGTTCATTTAGAAACCCGAGTCGTTTACTATCACACGGTGATGACAGTAAACGTACAAACATGTAAACAAGTAGTTTGTAGAGAACGAGTGATCACTACAGAAATGGTTATAGTCAGAACGCAGTCGGTTTAGGTAAAAACAGTCACTGACCCACGGTAAGTTTCCGAGTTCGGATGCTTTCCCAGCCTAGTGGTATTGTCCGGCGTATAGCGTAGCGCGAACGGTGCGATAGTCCCTAGCCGTTGAGCGAAGTACACCGCGCAGAGCAAACACGACGACGCACGCAGCAGACCAGAGCGACAACGCAGAGATGCGAAAGTGAATGTATTGATCGAGTCAACTAAAACAAGCTGTATAAGAATGAAGCTAATAATAATAATAAAATACAATCGTAAAAAAGAAATGTACAAACGCTACAGAACTCCTCCCCTAGAGCGTGAGTCGAAGGGACGAACGCTCGATAGGTGCTAGCTTTCGTAAGTCACAAGTCGAGAAGGGAAAATGACTGTACGTCCGGAGCGTGTACGCTTAGATATATCGGGGTTTGCGACAAGTGTGGACGGGGGCAAAAAAGAAACACTGGGGTCGCACTTTGGCTGAGTGGGAGGGGTGCTTTGTAGCGGAGTCTGTTCAGGAACACAAGTGTCAGTAGATTGGTGAGGCGATTGCAGTTCGATATAGGCAGGCTTCAGACGATCAATGCTAATGGAATCTTTAACCATTCTTGTCCAACAAGAAGTATTTCTCCTTATGAGCGAGGACTTTGAAGGGACCCTCGGAAGGCAGTGTCAATGGTTTGCGGACAGTGTCGACGCCCACAAAGACAGAAGGACAGGTGCGCAAATCAGGGTGAATCCATTGACTTCGAGAGTTAGGTCGAGGTGGAGTTGGACGAACGGCAGTAAAGTGTTACTTCAAACGTGCAACATACGAAGCAGGATCCACTTTGACGGTGACTCTTAAATCAAGTGCGATCTCACCAGAAAGTCTAAGTGTCGTGCCGAAGACTAGTTCATCTGGACAGCAACCGATGTCTTCTTTTACGGTGTTACGAATATCGAGAAGGACGATCGGTTGACTTTCGGACCACTGAATGTTCAACTGCGTTGCAATAAGGGCAACTTTGAGCTGTCGGTGGGAGCGTTCGATTTGCCCGTTAGCGGCGGGGTGTGCGTAGATGTGAACAACCGAGCATGCGATTGAGGTCACGGAACAAAGCAGAGCTGAACTGAGGATCTTTATCCGTACTGACAGTGGCCGGGTGCCAAACATGGATATCCACGATACAATGAACGCTCTGGCGACTGTTTCGGCTGAAACATCTCGCAGTGGCACTTCGTGAGGCCAACGCGTATATCGATCAACATATGTCAGCACATAGGTAAAACCGTTGGATGAAGGAAGGGGTCCAACGATGTCGAGATGGACATGTTTGAAGAGGGTATCGGGCAACCAGAATGTGCCGGGGATGGTAATGGTGTGGCGCTGGATTTGGCTATTCTGACAAGTGATGCAGTGTTTCGCCCACTGTCGAATATCCGTGCACATGTTTTGCCAGATGTAACGATCAGTTATGAGCTTTCTAGTAGCGCGTATGCTTAGGTATGAAATACCATGCAAGTGATCAAATACAATTCGTCGATATTGCTACCGGGGCGAAAGGTCGAGATTTTCCAGTGGACCTATCACAGTAAATTTTGGAATCCGAGTTGACAAGAGGCAGGAGAGATAGTTTGATGGATGAAATCAACCTCGGCTGCTGCAACTCTGGCTCTTCTTGTTGAGGAGCGGCGATGTCTTCAAAGTTAATTGGTTGTCGTGAAACCTGGTGAACATCAAAAAGAAACGTCGGGTCGGCGACGATGTTACTGGCTGCATCAACATGTCGAATATCAGTAGTGAACTGTGATATATAATCGAGATGACGAGTTTCGCGATGTGAAAAACGGTCAGGAGATCCGCGAAAAGCAAAAGCGAGCGGTTTATGATCAGTAAGAATGGTAAACGGACGTCTTTCGAGCAGATATCGGAAAGTTTTAACGGCCAGATAAATAGCCAAAAGTTCGCGGCAGAAAGTACTATATCTCGTTTGGGCGGGTTGCAGCTTACGAGAAAAGAAGGACAAAGGCACGGGCTGACCTTTTACTATTTGCTGTAGTACATCCCCAACAACAGTCTGCGACGTGTCAGTTTTGAGAACTAGGGAAGTTCCGATGTTGGTATTTAGATGACTAAGCGCAGTGGCACTGGATAGTGCTTCCTTGATCTTATCGAATGCTGTCATTGATTCAATCGTTGGCTCGAACTGACGACACTTGCCTATAAGCAAATCTGGAGCACTCCGGAATAAAACGGCTATAATAGTTAACCATTCCAAGAAGGCGACGTAGACTTTTAAAGGAATGTGGCATAGGATAATCAGCAATGGCCTGCGTTCTTTCAGGAAGCGGACTAATGCCGTCGCGGTCTATACGATGGCCAAGGAAACCAATACGCGACTGGCCAAAGATGCATTTGTCAACGCTGATTTTGACATCGTGTTCGACAAAGCACTCGAAGATAAAGCGAAGAGGTAGGTGTTCATGGCGATTCAAACTAGCCACCAGGATGTCATCGATGTAAATGAAAACGAAGTCAAGCCCTCTAAGGACTTGGTCGATAAATCCCTGGAAAGTCTGCGCAGCGTTTCGCCACTCAAAAAGCATGCGGAGGAATTCGTAAAGGCTAAAATAGGTGGTTATGGCGGGATATCTTCGGGGGCAACACGAATCTGATAATCCGCACGGATAAGATCGATTTGAGAGAAAATAAACTTGCCGTACAAACCGACGGAAAAGTCGTGAATGTGGGGGATAGGATATTTGTCTGGGACAGTAGCAATGTTCAGAGCACGGCAATCACCACATGGTCGCCAGTCCCCGCTCGACTTCTTAGGGACCGTGTGCAACGTGGACCACGAGCTATCGGACAGTCGGATGATGTCGAGACTCAGCATATGCTGAAATTCAGTCTTAGCTGTCGCGAGTTTGTCGGGCGGCAACCGTCGAGGTCGAGCAGCAACATGAGGTCCGGTAGTAAGGATATGGTGTACAATCTGGTGCTTTGGATCTGAAAATTCGTCGGATGACTGATATAAAGCGGGAAAGAGGAGAAACAATTCACTGAATACGCTAGCGGGGAGAAGCGACATTCGGAGGCCGATGGAGCTCATCGAGGCAAATTCACTAAGGATGGTGAGAGATATGACACTGTCACGGTTTCCTGCAGAGTAAGTCTACATTCATGCCGTATTTCGTAAGAAAGTCGACGCAAATAATGAGATGTTGGGCCTCTGAGATGAGAAAGACGAAAAAGGAAGATCGTCTGAGTCCGAGATCAAGCGCTAGCAGCTTTTGCCACTACGTGTTGATTTTGGTGCTGCTACCTGAATGAAGCGTAATTCCGGTAGGGAGCAGGTAGCGTTCTTCCGTTCTTCGAGGTAGAACGCTTACCTCAGTACCGGCGTTAACCAGGAAGGAAAGGTTTGCGGCGGAGTCGTGGACGTAAAGTAGGCAACTAGATGGTTGTCCAACTGCGGCCGTCGCCATTACTGGCTGACTTGAGCGTGTCCTTGCTGCGGCGTGCTGGATGCATTAGAAGGAGCGCAACCGGGGCGACAATTCCTAGCTGCGTTACCAAAACGGCGATGATAGTAACAATAGTGATGTACCGCGTTCCGCGAAAAATTGCCTCTATTAAGTGAAGCTGGTCTGCGACTACTACTACGGAATGGCGACACCATCACACAACCCAAGTCTTCTGAGTTTCCTGTTTAGAATCATAAAGAGAAGTTCTTTCACATTTCAAAAACAAAGACTCCTTACCACTGTTGAGAAACGACATCACTAATTGGTGAGTCTTAGACGCAAAATGACCTTCGAGTGTGCCAGACAATGTGGTTATTGTTTATTTATCATTGTTGCATGTTTTGGGATTGATAAGAACGCGCTTTCACACATTCTACGTCTTCTTATTTTCCAGTTTGGGACACAAATTTAGCACACCAAGTAACATCGACGACTACACAGAAGTGTATCGATGGCCCTTGCAGCTGAGCTGGATGAAAACCGTTTGGGATAAAATGACCTCTATGGGGCATTCGTCCATTGGGTTGTAGAAAGGAGAGGGGAGAGCACTTATCAGCTCTGTCGATTCCTACTCATTGTGGGATAACTGCGTGTTGTGGTATTACGACGTTCTTCGAGGGCTCATCGCAGTTGCAGCACGACGCCAGCGTCTTCATTAAGTGTTTAACTAAAAGACTCTTGAAAAGTTCCTCCGAAGGTGCGACAATTTCCTTAGTTAAACCGTTCCACTTATTCACTATTAGGGTGATCAGAGTGAGGTCTGAGCGAGCGTGGAGCCTTCGTGGTTTGAACAGCCTCCATTTGTGACCTCATGTCGAGCATCCGGCATTGGGGTGGAAGAACTGCAGTAGCTCGTTTTCAAATTTACAAAGAAGTGAAGTTCGATAACTTAAGGAAGATGGTGGAGCCGGAAAGACAGATTTCGAAACACGGCTCTGGACGTTTTTTTATCAAAGAATACACAAACTAAAAGAGAAAAATCGCTGGCTGCCCGTATTCTAGTATGGGACGTACGCATGCGGTAGATAGAGATCAGAAGATCTCAGGAGCCATTTCGGGAGAACGACCCAAGGGCACCTAAACTCTCTTTGCGACTGTGACCTTCATCAGTGTGTGTTAAGACGGCCTAAGGCCAGAGGATACGATTGTTACCGAAGGCCGTCCACTGCAGCCAGTAAGCACACTACTT